AGGTCGCAGGTCCAGCGGGCGGCGCCATGGGATTACCTGCCCTGGAGTTCAGCGACTGCTGCCTGGACAGCCCGCAGTTCCGAGACACGCTCAAGTCCCACGAGGCCGAGCTGGACAAGACCAACAAGTTCATCAAGGAGCTGCTCAAGGACGGGAAGACGCTCATTGCGGCGCTCAAGAGTAAGGGGCTGGCGGGGCGGGGCGGGGGCTGCACCTGGCCTGGGGCCCTGCCAGGTCTCCGGCAGCCCACCCTGAGCCAGGCCTGGGGGTTTCGTGGCCGGGCGAGGTGCCTGTGGGGGGCAGCTGCAGGTGAGCCGCCCGCCCCCTGGCCCGTCCAGGAGGGGGCCGTGCTGGTCCTCGCCGGCCCTGCGCTTCGGCCGGGTCAGGGGGACGGGGACGGCGCGGGCGCGCAGGTCGCCTGCTCCTTGAAAGGGACGCTTATCTTCCCGCCCAGCTCTGGCAGGGCGCTGCGCGGTCGGTCGCTCCCCCCCAAATGTCTCCGCTCGTGCTGGAGTGGGGGAGGGAAAGCTTTGCCTCTAGAAATATATATTTTTTCCAGGCAGGCGATTTAAGCAAACGGATGCGGAGAATCGTGAACGCGGCTCTTCTAGTTCCGACTTCTCTGGCAGGGTGAAAAATTGCTCTGAGGGGCAGGTCCAGCATTGGACCGTGTCCTTCTCGCCCCAGAAGCGTGTTGCGCGGTGTGGCTCTGTGACCCTTTATCTTTGGGCTGGATGCCATCCACCCGTTGTTCGCAGGACCTAGTTCTCTGCGCGGATATTGCATGCATTTTGCAACGTTGCTAGTTGCGTTCTGCTACTTGCAGTGGGACCTTGCTTGCATGCCTGAGAGTTGGCTAGAAATAGCTTTTCCTTCAGTCTAGCAGGGCGAGAGCGCTCTGAGCACATCACTTGTTTTTTGTTTTGCCTGTGACCTAGTGCTGAATAGATGCATCCTCCATAGGTGCTTCTTACCTCCTGAAAAGGAGTCGGTGGTGCTGCTCTTCCATCTGTATGTTTGAGAGACGCGTGTACAGATAGTTCCCCTAACGTGTGCAAAATGCCAAACCTGTTACCTGTGTGCCTTTTGACACCTGTTTTGAAGGGCAGAGCCTTGCTGCACTGTCTGCCTGCAAAGCATTATCAGCTTTGTACGTGTGTTTTTAAATTCAACCAAATATTTATTTGAAATAACAAACCCTGTTCTGAAGTGTGGATTCAGTAGGGAAGGAGGCTGGTAATGCTGCTGCCCCGTGTGCTGCAGGTAGCTGCTAGACGAGCCTTCTATGTATAAAGGCAAGGACTCTTGTAGGTGATATCTTTTATTGGACTAATTGCATGGTTGGAATAGATCTAGACTATTTGTACAGTTAGTGTCATTCACCTTGGACCTGCCCTGTAGCTTCCTTGCTGGCTCAGTCTTCACATTTCATTGTTGTACTCCTGCAGCCAGCTTATACGAAGTGAAGCGGGGGATTTTTACTAAGGTCTGTCTTTGAAAATTGGGTTTTTTGGGTTAAGACAACTAAATATTCTTGGCTCTTATTTGCCTTTCTCCGTTACAAAATAAGGGAACCAAACCTGGACATTCCAGCTGGCTCACTTTTTCTCTCCATGCTGGAAATGGGTCAGTTGTCCACCTTACAATACACAACGCTACCAGCTCAGGGAACATTGTATTTTGATCTTAGCTCCCCCACTCCCCCTCTACTCTGCCCTATCCCATTCTGATCAGATCACATCATTGCTTAGTTTTGCTTGTATAGCTGGGACCAAACTTTGGTGCACTTGTTTTGCTGAGACCCGTTGCATCGCTGGGTTGGTGACATAGCTAGAATAGGGTTGGAGCTTAGCTATGCAGGCAGGACTAAACTCTGTTAGACTATGGACCTGGAGAGGCCATTTTCTTTATGTAACTTCTCTGATAAAGTAGCTTTTGTTTTCTAGAAGTAGCTTTTGTTTTCTACTCTAGAATGGCCTAAACTATGGATATTTTCACTGGTTGACTTGAGTCTTCTTTCATGTTTTTTAAGCACACTGCTGAGATTTTGTAATCTAAATGGTATTCCTTTACTTCTGTTTTTTGGATTAGACTTTGCTCCTGTTTCCTCTTTTCCCCCTCCATCCCCACAATTGGGATGAAGCTTTCCATATCCATCCCTCATGGCTGTGTTTCCTGTAGGATGTATTAGTATGTGTTTCAATGATGCTGTCATCTTGCATCTTGACACTGCCACATGGTATCCTGCCTGCTCCATGGGCTATTTTGGAATGGGATCACCCATTCCAGTAGGACAGGTGACATTCCTGTTCATTGCTTGTGCGTGCTGGTTTGTCACTGAAGGGTTCTTCATAAGTGAGCTGCAGCTGTTGGGGTTTATTTCTGTTCTTTCTTTCCTTCGGGTCAAATTCTGAGCTACAAATGTTCAGTTCCTTTATGCTTGAAATCTTACCCTAGAGGTTCTGTGTTTCAGGCACTGCATCCACAGCATGAGTTTCACGTCTTAAAGTATCTGGACAATGTTTATTCTTTAGGGCTGAGATCCGATGTCTTAAAGTGCCATGTTTGTCTCTGTATATGTAATAGAGCATTTTCCTGCTTGACACAAGCAGTCTATTTGGGGGGGTGTTCTCCAAGCCAGTATATTCTAGTGCAGTCAAATAGTGGAATAGAGAAGATTGTAGTTTTACACTTTGCTGGATTAATCAAACTGCAGTTCCAGTGAGTCTGTTAACAAAGACTGGCTGACCAAGGAATACTTGCACTTTCATTTTCAGGATCATGCTGAGACACAAATATTTTGTTACAGTGAATTAATATGATTTTTTTTTTTTGTGTTTTTGCATTTCTCCAGTGGTGTGTACACTCATGGGCTTCTCCAGGATGTGGCACTTGGCTTTGCTTGTTCTTAGCTTGTAATCCTTGGCATCCTTGTTGAAATCGGTTGTGATCATTCCAGTCCACTAGCAACAAAGCCCAGCTACATGCCTACACAGTGATAAGAAGACTTTGCAACTGTATCTGAATTGTGGCAGGAAGATAATGCCAACAATATTTCTGTAGATAAGAATGTTTTATGACTGAATTGCTTTCTAGCTGTGGCTCAATAAATGCCTTGGATGACATCTTAGTTCCATTGAAATGTTTGGAAGTTCATGCCATGGGCTTCAGTGAGGCCAGGATTTCATCTCTACATTGGGCAAGAGTATGACTAAACACTTTTTGCGATTGATTCATCATCTATGGAAGTTGGTGAGAGTGTATTGACTTCACTAGATTTTGGATCAGAGCCTATGTGACTAACTGCATTTAATAGCATCATGCTAGTAGGTATATTGTGTGTATGTATGCACGTGTGCTAATAGGTTGGAACAATTGCATAGCTACTGAATATTGAATTCTTCAAAGGCCTTGCCTGTAAAATGCCTCCCCTGGCATGCTTCCAAATAAAGATTGGGGTTGTGCTATCTGCTGGAGACCTGAGATCATTCTGAAGTGGGTTACAGTGAAAGACTTTCCCTATGCCTGAAGAAGGGTGTTTGTGCCCAAAAGCTTGCAAAGAACAATTTTCCCAACTATTTAGTTGGTCTTATTAAAAGATATCACATTTACCCAAAGAATCTTGTGTCTCAATTAAACATGCATTTGGTGTCAACTTTACAAAATGAGGATTTAGGAAAAGTAGGAGCTCTCACAGAATGGCAGGGTCATTCTCCCAGAGGTTGGATGGGTAGCAGTTCCAGTTTGCACACTTTCTCCTTGCGTCTCTTCTTTTCTGCTACTTTGAAGTGATAGCTCCTCAAGTGGCTTAAATTACTTACACCAAGGTAATCGGAAGATGAGGCTAAGTCAGTGGAGTAACACTAGGGAAATTTAGAGTCAATCTGTTGTGATGGAGAATAGAATATGGCTCCTAGCTTTTTCCATAAGGGTTATAGCACTATAGCCACATCTTTTATGATGATTTAACTTGCATCTACCATTTTGGCCTATGTTAAGCACAGGGATTTTGTAACCTTCCAAGGTAGGTTACATTGGCTATTGTTAACCTATGACCCCATTTGTTCAGGTCAGCACAAGTAAAAATTTTTTCCAAGTGAAAAATCCAATGGCTTCACTAGTTCCTGGCATTCAGCATGAGCCGGCATTTTGAGGTCATGTAATTACTTGTCTATAACCTGCCACTAAAGCACCGTGTGGAAATCCTGCATCAGGAGAGGTATTTGGCAGAACCATTGGGGTGGTCTTAGTAGAACTTGCTGTCGATGGTGTCTGTTAGTGTTTCACCCTTATTACAATACACTTTTTCTGTAAGATATAAATACAAGCTAGATTCTTTTGTCATATAACTTATTCTAAATGTGATGTTTCCTTTTTGTTGGCTGAGGGCTCGGTTGGAGGCCTGCAGAAATATATCTGCCCCAGCATCATCTCTTGCACGCTCTTGCGCTCTCCCCATAGGTCTGTGTCTTGTTCTGTTTACTTTTCCTTTTGTCACCTGCTGCTGAGTCGAGCGATGATGAGCTGTGAAGCAGACCGGGATGACAACAGCAGTAAACCTTGGCTAGGGGGCAGGGTATAGCGCTGTGCTAGTTAAATAAGAGGCTGAGGGGTGTTAGTATGAGATCCTGTGGCATAAAATGCTTGGTGACTGAGCTTGAGTGATGTACTGTGCTTTTTTACATGGCAGGTATCTCTGACAGCAGGAGTGGTATAAGTAGCTGCAGAAGGGGGGTGGTGGTGGGTGGGTGATCCAGACGATTGCTATGAAAGGGTTGCATTCAGCTGGCAGCTCTGCTGTAACTGCCTGGAATCATTTAGCCCCAAGTATGAGCCCTGTTAAATGGCTCTATATATAGGCCACAAGGTAGCCCTTGGCAAGAGCTCTCTCCTACTCTGTTTGGGTTTTTTTTTCTAGGTTAGTCTCATCATGCAGCCCACTCTGCTTGTTGAAATGAACACTGTCAAGCACTCTGTATTGGGAAAGATTGACCTGGTCTAAACAGATACAAGTCATATCCTCCAAATCCAGATTCTTGAAAATTTTTCTCTCCTGGTTTCTTTCACCAGCTCTCCTGGG